GGGTTTAGGGTTTAGGTTTAGGGTTTAGGGTTTAGGGTTTAGGGTTTAGGGTTTAGGGTTAGGGCTTAGGTATATATATATATACACACACACACACACGTAAACAAATTCATACAGGGACCATATGATGGGAGCAGATTGCAAGAATCCTGTAGCGGTACGACTTGTGCAGCTTTAGAGGTTAAGCCATATGGTCACTTCTCTAAATTCATGGCCCCTCTTGGGGTTACCATTCTAAGGGCGGCGCCACCTACTGCTTAGGGTACCCAATCAAGGGACCATCTAGGTTTAGGGCTTAAACCCTAAACCCTAAACCCTAAACCCTCAACCCCTAAACCCTAACCCCTAAACCCTAAACGCGAGTGTTAGGGTTTAGGGCTGTATGAACCTGACGCGCCAAAGCCACCCGTCCTGGGCGGACACGTTTGACGGTCGTGGCATGGCCGCTCAACTGAATGGCCGGCTTTACCCAGCCATGGGTGAAGGCATATGTCAGGCGTAGGGTTTAGGGCTTAGGGCTTAGGGCTTAGGGCTTAGGGCTTAGGGTTTAGGGTTTAGGGTTTAGGGTTTAGGGTTTAGGGTTCAGGGTTGAGGGTTGAGGGTTCAGGGTTCAGGGTTTATACGGCTTGGGGTTTATAAGGTTTAGGGTTTAGGGCTCTACAAGGTTTAGGGTTTAGACAGGGTGGGCGCTCGAGTTCCTAACGTGTCACGCTTTAGGACTCCTATGTGCTCGAGAGGCTCCAGGCTCAGCTCAAGATCCGGTCCACGATGCACTGTACGCCCCAAGCTCGAAAAACCCCAAACCGAAAGGGTTTAGGGTTTAGGGTTTAGGGTTTAGGGTTTAGGGTTTAGGGTTTAGGGTTTAGGGTTTAGGGTTTAGGGTTTAGGGTTTAGGGTTTAGGGTTTAGGGTTAGGGTTCAAGATTCGTGTCGTCGACACCCCAAACCCCAAACCCTGCGTGATGGGGGGGGGGGGGGTGTAGGGTTTAGTTTAGGGTTTATAGGGTTTATGGTTTATAATCCATCTCCTCTATCATCCCAGTGGAACCTAAAGGGCTTAGGGCTCAACCCTACACCTTAAACCCTAATCCCAACAAGGGTTTGGGGCCCAGCCCCCCAACCCTAAAACTTATGAACCCTAAACCCTATAGACCCTAAACCCTAAAGAAGACCTCAAAAGCTCCCGAAGGAGATCCGCCTCATAGGTTGGTGCCCCCGTGCATCAGTGAGCCTCGGCTGCCAACCAACCAAAGGTTTAGGGTTAGGTTTAGGGTTTAGGGTTTAGGGTTTAGGGTTTAGGGTTTAGGGTTTAGGGTTTAGGGTTTAGGGTTTAGGGTTAGGGTTTAGGGTTTAGGGTTTAGGGTTTAGGGTTTAGGGTTTAGGGTTCGGGGTTTAGGACTAGGGTTTAGTGGCTTAGGGTTGAGGCCTGACGGCTTGGACTATTTTGGGTGTTAGGGGTTCAGGGCTTAGGGGCTAGGGAGTCAGGATAATTTAGGGGTTTAGGGCTTAGGGTCTTGAAAGGTTCATTGAACCTTCAGGATAATTTAGGGGTTTAGGGTTTAGGGTTTAGGGTTTAGGGTTTTGAACCTTTCAAGACCCTAAGCCCTAAACCCCAAAACACCTGGTCATTGTGTAGATTTTAACCTATTCCTTTCCATGAGCCTTCAAGCAAAGCATCGAGTTTGGTGTGTAGAGCATGGACAACGCAAACGACAAGCTAGGGGCATTGGTTTTGGATCTATTTCTAGCGTTTAGGTTTTTCGGGTTTAGGGTTGAAAGTTGAAGGTCACATGGCAGTTCTAGTCAGAATAAACCCTAAACCCTAAACCCTATTCCCTAAACCCTAAACCCTTTCCCCTGAATCCCAAAAGGAATAGAGTTGGGTAGGGGGCGTTTCGTGAAGATGCACCCGCCCAGCACTTCCCGCTCAAATTCTACGCTGCTCGACGGCGAGTTGAAAGGTATTTTTGGTAGTATAGGGTATATGGCCCCAAGCTTTCAACCCTAAACTCTAAACCCTGAACCCTACAACCCTAAACCCGAAACCCTAAACCCTAAACCCTAAACCCCAAAAGGTTGATTTCCCAAGCAAACCTCCGGCCCGAGACACCGCCGGCCGAGGCCGACCGTAAAGATATCCGGAGGAGAGGAGCGACGGCGGCTGCTGTACCTACGTAGGGTTTAGGGTTTAGGGTTTAGGGTTTAGGGTTTCGGGTTTAGGGTTCAGGGTTTAGGGTTTTAGGGTTTAGGGGTTGACGGTTCTCAAACTCCTGGATTCCCACATGCTGGGACTCGATGTGACCAGTGAGGGCGCCTTCTTGCAGAGCAGCTGAAACCCTTGATGTATGTAGACCCTAACCCTAAACCCTAAACAGACCCAAGAGGAACTTAGGCATGAACAGCAAGCCCTTTTGGTTCAAAAGGGGGCGTAGAACCCAAGCCCAACAAAAAGGGAGTAAGGGCCTATCTGGACCCGAAAAAAAGACACGTTTAACGCTTTTTAGGCGCCCGGGTTCGCGGCTTGGGGCTTTGGCCTTTGGCTGTAGGTTCGTACTGCAACGAGTTCTGTTGCTATTGCCACCGGTTTACCTATTTGTTGGGGCGGGGGGGTGGGAGAATGGGGGGGGGGGTGGAGGAGGGGAGAGGCTGGAGAGCGGGGCGAGAGGGGGGGGCGGGGGAGAGGGCGGGAGGGTGGGCGTTCTCAGTGGCTGAGGGTGTGTGTAAGGGGCCCCCTCTCCCCTATACCCCTCGCCCCTGGTTCTTTATGACACGTACAGTCCCTATTGTCGTCTTGTCGCTGTGGCCTATGGACCATAAACCTAGGAAGGCGAGGGAGGGTCCTACACCCTAAACCTGAAACCCTAAACCCTAAACCCTAACCCTGAACCCTGAACCCTAGGCCGGATCGTGATTCCAGGCAGGCGGGGGGTCACCACCGGCTCACTGATCATTGTCACCTCAGGCAGGGGGAGAAGGTTTAGGGCTTCAGGGTTCAGGGCTACACCCTGAAATCAAGAAGAACTTCAGGCGTGTTGATAAACACAGCGCCCCATGTAGGGGAAATGTGGGCTTGAGGGTTCAGTCTCATCCTTGGCAGGGAGTTGGATCTGTGTGGGTGGGTGTGGGCTTCAGTCCATGCAGGGCTGCCTGTCGCGTGGATCCTCGAACCCTGGGACCACCCCAGATGACATGAGGGTTTCCGAAATTTGGGGTACCTTCTGGGTGTCCTCATGATAAGGGAATGCCACTATTTGGGGTTCATGTTCGGGGGGGGGGGGGGGGGGGGTCCCTTATTTCGTAAACCCGATACGTTTAGGTTTTAGAGTTCTTCGGTACAAGCCTTGAAGACCCTCTCATGTACCTTGAAGTTAGAAACCCTTTGCAGGGTTTTGGGTCAGGGGTTTAGGGAGCCTAGTCCAATCTGTTCAGCCCCTTTCCACCATTTGGGTATAGTTTCTGGGGCTTGTGCCCTCGAAGGTCATAAGGTCTGGAATCTCAACTGTTCCGAGAACACCTTTTGGCCCTAAACCCTTAACCCTAAACCCTAAACCCTAAACCCCTGACAGCTTAAGCTTCAGTTTCTTTGTGACGTGGCGAAGGAGGCTGGAGAAAGACCCTTCAAGCCTCCAGGCCCCAGCAAGCCCAAGCCCAAGCCACCCTAAACCCTAAACCCTGAACCCTAAACCCCAAACCCTAGACCCTAGAACCCCCGCAACCCCAAAACCCCAAACCCCCCAAAACCCCCCAAACCCTAGAAACCCCCGCAACCCCAGAACCCCAAAACCCCCAAACCCAAACCCCAAAACCCCAAAATCCTAAACCTAAAACCCGAAACCCCAAACCCTAAACCCCAAAACCCTAAACCACAGAACTCTATAATCCTAAACCTCAAGCCTTAAACTCCAACACCCTAAAACCCAAAACCCTAAACTCCAAAACCCTAAACCCTAAACCCTAGCCCTAAACCCTAAACCCTAAACCCTAGCCCTAAACCCTAAACCCTAAACCCTAAGCCCTAAACCCTAAACCCCGGAGGTCCCTGAGTCGCCAGCCGGCCCTGGCCGCAACGCTCCCCCGCGGGCCTTGGAACATGCCAGGCCGCTTGATTCCTTTCTTGTGTCGGTAGGGTTTAGGGTTTAGGGTTTAGGGTTTAGGGTTTAGGGTTTAGGGTTTGGAGTTTGGGGTTTGGGGTTTGGGGTTTGGGGTTTGGGGTTTAGCGTTTAGGGTTTAGGGTTTTAGGGTTTTAGGGTTAGCGTTTAGGGTTTGTGGAGTTCGGAGGTGCCACGAGGGTTTCGGGCCAGAGGAGTGCTTGCAGCTTCAGCATGTTGCGTTTAGGGTTTAGGGTTGAGGGTTTAGGGTTTAGGGTTTGAAATCTTAAGTGCTGACCTATACAGTGAAGACCAGCACGCTAAGCCTGCATGCTTGCCTGGAAAACGTGGGCAACCGAAAACGAGTGTCGTGGTTGTGGGGGGAGGGGTGTAACCTAGGAGGCTTAGGGTTTAGGGTTCAGGGTTGAAGGTTAGGAAAATGAGGTGGCTTGCAGAAAATACATCTCTCTGTATACTATGCCGTAGTGTACAATGTAGCTACGTAGGAACAGAGGTCGTTCTACATCCTGCATTGCCATGCTCAGCCATACTTCGACATAGCTTCCTGCACTGCATCTTGCTTCTCTTTGCCTACGCTAAGGTGAAAAAAGGCGGGAACGTTAAACGGCACCTCCTTCGACCCCAGATCTTCTCCCGAAAGCCCTACACCCTCAACACAAAACCCTAAACTCACGGGTTTCTACCTTGGACCCTTCTGGTGGTACCCTTGGGTTTGGGGACACTGTCTTGGATTCCCAAGCGAATGTAAGTGCCACTTTCGGAGTTTCTTAAGGGAACCTCCGAGGGGGTACATCCTTAGGGGTACTAGTCTTCATACCTTGATAAACCCAAGAACCCTCACATGGATAGCTTGGTGGAGGGGGGGGGGGGGGGGGGTGGGATTGAGGGTTGAGGGTTTGAGGGTTCAGGGTTAGGGTTAGGGTTTTAGGGTTATAGGGTTTAGGGTTTAGGGTTTAGGGTTTAGGGTTTAGGGTTTAGGGTTTAGGGTTTAGGGTTTAGGGTTTAGGGTTTAGGGTTTAGGGTTTAGGGCTGAGGGTTCATGCCTTTCAGTTTTGGAGAGAACGGGCCTGGCCAGCCCAAACCCTGCCCTACAAACCCTAAACTCTTGAGGTAGCTACATGGTCCCTTAATATGGGCCCTTGCCTTGTATACCCCCCCCCAGAAACTGTATAGACCACAAGGGCCCTTGCTTCAGAACCCTTTAGAGGAAAAAGTGCCCTTACTTCAGAACCCTTTCGAGGAGGGTAAGAGACCACACTCAGGGCCCATAAAACCACCCTTAGACATTAGATCAACCCCGAACCCCGAAGCCGTAAACCCTAAACCTAATTCC